AAACAAAAATTTACGTGGCCTGCTTTGTTGGAAGCGTCTTTTGTTTTCTGAAATTTATGATATATTATAACTCATTTAATACCATAGTAATTTTTTTTTCTCTTATTTTGCACAAAAAAATAAATCGATTAAATCCAAACAAAGCAAGGGCAAAAATAAATAATATAAATTTTGTTTGAAATAATGTAAAGTATTTTTCTCTTGGCTCCTGGTGCCCATTTGAACAAACTCTGGGACATATGTCTGATATTGTTTGGTGCAGTATAACAAAAAAAAAAAAAAAAAATGGTTGAAATTATTGACCCACTGTCTAAACTCCTCTTGCTAGTGAAGTAGATGGTTTGAAATGCTTTTTCCAGGGTCCAATCTGGAATTTCTACCAGTATGAAGTTCTTAAACCCTTCATTGGTAGAACTGGTCCAGCAAAGCTGAAAAATTAAATAATAATCGGGTTCCAAAGATATGGTAGGGAAGAAAAAAGTGTTTAATATCTATCACACACAAAATATGTTTTAAGGAAATAAATTATTCAAAATACAAACCATTTGATAATGGCATTTCTAATTCACTAAATTATTACAATAGTATAATATAACAAATCATGTAAATAGGTCTTATTTGGTTCATTTGAAAATAGAATATAAATTAGAGAAGAAACAGGGGTAAAAAAACACAATACTTAAATGATAGAATTTATTAACAGTATATGGTTAGTCAATATAACATATAAATATGCATGTTTGTATACATCATACATTTTGAAACAAAGACTGGTGTTTGAAACATGTATCATAACAATAACATTCCATTGTGTGTAAGATTGTTAAAGAGAATTATTTATCATAAGGGAAATAGAAATTTACATAAGTTGTTTTTAAAAAAATAATTTTAATATACATTGTAAATATGAAATGATTGATTGGAATAAAAAAATCAGATAAAATTAAACTAAATAGCATGACAGATTTCCAATATAGATAATTAAAGCAGGATACAGTTTTTAAAATAAATCTTAACAAATACAAAATGACTAGAAACTTCATAACAATATAACATTATAGATAGAATATTATAAAATTGATAACTTACGAAGGAGTTTTAAGTTCTTGTTTAACACAATGTTTGAAAGCATCCCAACCTTCAGATTTCACATTTGTCTGAAATGAAAAAAATATGTGTTTAATTAATTAGAAAATGGGAATGAGTATAGAATTTCTGAAACAGTAATAAGTTGTGTATGAAATGTTGGGAATGATATAAAAAATAAATCTAAAATTAGTTATTACTTTTAACCAATATGTTTATCATTTAAGCAATATTCTAATTTTTTTTTTTTTTTTTTTGGGTCTCTTTATTTTAATTGTCTTGAAAATCTATTAAGGCTCTTCAATCATCACTTATTTTTCTATCTACTAGTCTACAAGGAACTTCTGCAGTGTATACATGATCAATATTTGTTGTTTTCAGCCTTGAAAATGACCCACGTGATTAGTTTGAAAGTAGATAATAAACGGCAATAAAAATGACTGTTTATCACCTATGATATATATATATATATATATATAAGTTGTTCACCAAAACCTGTTTATGGAGTTCTATGAATTTTTCAGGTCATTTAAATAGTTTTAAAAGGACATGATTTAAATATTTAAAAAAATAATTATAATTATTCTTCTTGCTTCTATAATATTGTGAAGCAAAAATAAGAAAAAAAAAAATTAATTATGCATTCATTTTATGGCGCTAAAACCCGATTACAGGTCTTGTCCTCCTCCTTTCATGGTCTTGGGCTGACGCCATCCTAACTCCCAGGATGTTGCTAGCATCTCCTGCCACACTGTCTCACCATCTCAGCTTTGGTCTCCCTCTTTTCTGTGAACTGGCTATATCAACAATATTTTTGGCATTTCTCCATCTGCTATCCTGGCGATATAGCCTGCATATCTTAAGTGCCTAAACTTCATTGCTTTTACGACATCAGCCAGCTTCCCGAAAAACATAGTACAGAATCTGCATCATTTCCATTATTATTCAACTGTTACACCTGGAAAAACATGGCGCACAACTTATCTTTCAAAAATAAGGAGATTCTTTCCGGGCACCTTTGAAGTTATCCAGCAATCCAATCCATAAAGAACTATCACTGTTTGGTACCACATTGTATCAATATCTTACACAGGTGCACGGTGTTAACCCGAAGTAGCATTTTTTTGGCCGCTATGATTCTCCTCCTTATCTCAACATCAGGTTTATCATCCTGAGTGACCACACATCCCAGCTCAATAAACTCAGAAAAATTTATGAAGCCGAATAGTAACTAAGCAACAGTCAAGGCCTTCGGGGAGTGTCTCACAATGTCTATATTATCAGCGTAAGCCAAAAATTGGACAAGCCTAGTAAATATGTTTTTCTTGTTGTTTACATAAACCAATGTCTTTTACGATCTTCTCAAGGGCTAGGTTAAACAGCATACATGCTAGCGCATTCCCTTGCAGAAATCCTTTATATACACGAAATTCCTTGGTTGTGACATCATTTATACTAACCATAATTATATTAAACACTTTAAATACTAGTTTACAATAACTACTTATGGAAACTGGTAGAAAAAAGTTTTAGTTCCTAAATAACACAAGGAGGTTAAAATGGATGAAATGTATAGCTCGCAGCAATCAAACAGGAAGCCTTTACATGACAATGAATGCCTCAATAGTTGGAAAAAGACCACGTGAAAGGCCAACAACCAGATGGATTGATCGAATCAACAAAGATGCTTTAGAGTTGCATGAAGATAAATGGAAAGAAATGGCCTCAGATAGGCAGAGATGGAGAAGGCTGATTAAGGTGGGCAAAAGATCCACAAGATCTGTAATGGTAACAGAAAAAACAAAAGAGCACAACTAGTTTACAATTTACTGTTGATGGATAAAATTTGTTCTCTATTATAATGAAGCAAAAGAAAAAGAAGATAATAACATATTCCTGATAAGCAGGTTTTTATGAACTGATGTTTATTAACAACCATTTTATATAAGTGGTATAATACATTTTACAATTTTAAATACTTTGGCATACAAATAGGAACAAATAATGATTTGCCATTATTGGAGCAAAAATGATTTATTTCTTAATAAATGGTTTTAGAACTGAATATAATTAGAACTGAAAAATAAAAGAAAATGGTTATTACGAAAAATTGATGAGCCCACCTCAAAATCTATGGCGTATCATGTATAAATTTGTTTATATGTAATTATTAAAAAATTGGACATAATGAATGATGGAATATCATTAGATAAAATGTAAAAAATATGGCAATTATTCAGCAAAATAATTTCTTGATATATTCACTTAACAAATTTCAAAGAAGTTTTTCATTTTTACATTATAGATTAAATAATAAGTTAATGAACAAAAGAATGAGGAATTCCAACATTTTCTCAATAGAAAAATTTATTTTTAGTAAAATAACAGTTTTACTTTTCTTTCAAATTCAACAAAACTGTACAGCAATTGGAAAAGTCAAAACTGAAACAAACAAAAAAAAAACAAATATTTTTACAAATTTTATAATAAAAATACTTTCAAAATAAGTAAACCCTTCTTACAAAGGGCGATTTGGGTGATAGTTCACCAGGGAAAGCAAAAGTACCCGAGATTCTTCCCCTCCCCCCTCCCTTGGGAATGTGAGGCCCGTCAGCTTACTGGAGGCAACTCACACCGACTGGGTAGGACTGATGGCCCTATCTCTGGGTACTTAAATCAGGAATCAGGATGTGGTCTAGAAGACCACATCTCGCGGTTAAAGATCTTTCAAGGTTATCTTAAGGGGTGCCTACCACCCTGGAATAAAACTCAAGAATCTTTAGGATGTTGACATGCACTTTTATACATAGAACGAAATCTATTTGCTAGGAGATATAATTTGTAGTGAAAGGCACACGACTACTACAGGAAGTTTAAAAATATGTAGATGCCAATTTTCCTATCAATCTAGTGAGATGTTTAAGTAGACATGGAAGTACATTTCCTTAGTGTGGATAGAATTTCTCAATTTTTGTAATATATATATAATTTTGGTGTCTTGAAGTTTTTTATTTTTTACAATAAATTCCATACATATATATATATAATTTTGGTGTCTTGAAGTTTTTTATTTTTTACAATAAATTCCATATATATATATATATATATATATATATATATATATATATATATATATATATAAATTGAATTTATTGTAAAAAATAAAAAACTTCAAGACACCAAAATTAGGAAAGATGGACAGAAGATATATATATCTATATATATAAGATATATATATATATATATATATATCTTCTGTTCATCTTTCCTAATTTTGGTGTCTTGAAGTTTTTTATTTTTTACAATAAATTAGGCCAACCATCACCAACATTTCATTGATACGCATCAATATGACGTTTAGACCATACTAAGGGTCCTCCGTTATATGTTCATCATTAATCATATCATCTTTTTATTTCTGTATCAGACAACTTATTCTTAGTTTATATCTACTTATATTCATTTATTTTCACCATGTTTTGTATCTTTGGAACCCTAATGAAGACCTGCAAAGTGGGTCGAAACGTCGGCAAAAATTAAATAATTATACTTGTTTAATTTAGTATTAATTTAATCGCACCCCCCGATCAACTCCTTCTCACATTATATCAACGGTCAACCATCTCTACATCATTAAAAAAATGTATGTCTTTTTAAACAGTTACCAAAACAAATAAAAATACCTTGAATCCCCGGTGGAGACGGTCTTTCATGATGGCTATGAACTCTCGATAGCTGAGCTGTCCGTCTCCATCTTCATCGAAGATGGCAAAGACAGTCTGAACAAGATGCCGTGATAAACTTGTACCAGTGCAAATCATCACAGCTCTATGGAACTCATCTGGAAAGTATATCAAATCGGTCAGAGGAAACAATAACTTGACGAGTTAATATTATAATATAGCCAATTGTACCTTTAGATATTGGATGATCAGCAAGTGTATACATTCTCATAGCAATAGTGAAGTCTTCCAAGTTATTTAAGAACTGACAGAATACTTTGAACTCCTCAAAAGTGATTCCTTTCATTGAATCTTTGACACGAGTAAGAAGACGCTCCAAATATTGCTCATGGCTAAAAAAAAGAGTATCTAACTAATATTATATTGTATGTTATTCTCACAGTGCTGTAGGATAATTTAAAATAGTACTGAAATTATTTGTCGGTGGATATTATTACTTTCAAATAAGGCATATGGGAAGACCAACTGAGCTTGAAATGACTGCAGAAGACTCCATTTCCTTTTGTATTGAAAAAAAAAAACTACTTAGAATGAGGTCAGGTAGGCTTATCTTTAGATCTTTCACGTTACTACTACGACCATTATTTTCATCGAAAATGTATGAAAGTATATATTAACAAAGAGTAGACTTATTTCCTCAAAGAATAATATTCACAATTTGCTAACCACTGGTCTAGGAGTATCTGCAAGACTTAACCTAAATCTAAAAGGCTCTTCACTTAATGCTACAGGTTGAGCAACAAGAGTGAAATCATAATGAGACAAGGATTCGTTTCCATAGTTACATGAAAAATATAATTCTATGCTAATTAAATTTAATAGCATTGAATAGAGGGAGGAGGGGAATAAAAACAAAAGAATGTCAGTAAACAAGTCTGGAAAATGTATCAATTAAAATATTTCTTCAACTTACACCTCAGCTGAGAGGTGAGTATATCTGAGCAATATCTTGGCAAAGTCCAATTCACTGATAGTATTCTTGCCTTTTGCGTATTCTTGGAACTCAATTTCTAATACTTCAGTCTGCAAATCATCCATAAACCTAGAAAAAGTTTAATGAAATACTTCAAAATATTCTCAAAAAACTTAAAATTCAAAATATCATATAACAATATTACATTAGTGAATTTAATACATTATAACAAAATTGAGCATATTTTAAGCAAAAAAAAGTAAATATTTGGAAAATACTTATAGTTTATTAAAAAAGAACATGAAAAAATTACACTGTATTATAAAACAAATAAAAATTAAAACAAATGGAAAATCTTAAATTCATTAATTATCACACTTAAGAAAAGAATGACAACTATTTTTTTTTTTTTTTTTGGAGAAAAGAACTTATAAATATTTCGATAAATCATGCCTCGCTATTTTTTATCAATGAAAAGAGAAGGGATGTAAATATTGTTAAATATAGTACAACATAAAAGATTATTACTATATGTTTCATCAACCCGTAAATACTGCTTGAAACATTTTCAGTGGCTTGTATTTTTCTCACAAAATTATAATCAAACAGTTTTTAAACAATACCATAATAAAATTTCGATTCAATATATATTTTTGGTATGTCAAGCATAAATTTTTTTTTAAAAGTTCCTATGGAAACAATTTGTTTCCATTAAATAACATTAGTTTTCAGATATTATTACTCATAGTAATTAATCACTCTTCATTATCTTATATGACGTTTATATTACTTATTAGTGTTTCTAAAATCTTAAAATTTCCAACAATATATTACTACTATTATTTTCGAAAATTTGTCCTAAGCTGAGAAAATGCGTCCCCTTTTTTCTCCTATTATTATCAAATTTATTCAAAGTATTTAACCATTTCTCATTATTAATAATCACGAGAGACTGTTATTTATTTCAAAGAAATTATATTAAAGATACTTTAGAGGAAACCATTTTGAAAATTTGGCATTTAAGCCTTACCAAATTATAACAATGAGGATAAGGTCTATTTTATGTTAAGTCATTTAATTGTGCATTGATATTACACGAAGTTCAAGAAAAATCATTAGAGCCATTTTTGATAAAATTTTAAAAATGTGTAAAGTCAATAAAAACAGAAAATAACTATAAATCATAAATTTTTATTTCTATTAACAGTATTAAAATAATAGGGCATAAAAAAAAAAAATGACCATTTTATCAAAAATTCAAGATTTTAAAGCGCTGTAAATATTTTATTCTTATTTAATACTCACCAGTACTTTTTAATTCCTTTAGACCATTCTCTAAACTTTTTTAATCCCATTTGACTTCTTAAATGGGATTAAACAAGTCATGGAGAGTCACCATCTACTCTCCATCGGGAAGGTGAAAAACAGCAGTAGACTAGTCCCTCACAAACTTACTCCTTAACAATCAGCTAAGTGGTAAGAAATTTGTGAAAATTTATTGAAAAACCCTTGCCTAAAAAATTCCTGCCTCATCCACCATATAGTCCATATAGACCTCACACCATTGGATTAATAATTATTTAGATCCATGGCCCATTTTCTTCAAGGGAAAAAATTTGATAATTTTGTGGAAGTTGAAATTGCGGTCCAAGAGTTCTTTGATAGCCATCGCAAAGAATGATAGCGTGGGATCGAGAGATTGGCTAGTAGATGGCTAATGACGGTAGATAACAATGGGCTATACTTTGAGTATTAATTGTATTTTATATCAAATAAATAATAATACAAATATTTAGTTGAAAAATGGTCATTTTTTCAATATATTCTATTATAATGGAAAATATATTTTACAAGAATTTTTCATCTTAAAAGATTAAGACATACTTTCGGAATCCTTCATATTTCAGATCCTGGTTTCCTTTAAGACCGAAAAAATGGACAGCGAGTGTAGTGTCCACATTATGCCTTCGCTGCAACCCTTGCTCATCGTCAATATAGTCAGCTGTGGCGGATCCCTCCACTTGGAGCATGTTTCCAGCAACACCGAGACCTCGCTTGTCTTTCCAAGCATGGCTAAAGATTTTCTCCATCTATTTAATAAAATATAAATAATTTCACAAAAAAATTAAAGAACAAGATGTTAAGAAGCCAAAAACTGGTTATTACTAGAATAAAATATAGTAATTGTTCAATGACTTAATAATGTTTATAGTTGAACAACTACTATATTTTTTCTGAAAATTGGAACCAAAATATTAGTTTCAAACAAGTTAAATATAAAGGATAAAATGTTACTGCGTATAAATTGAATTAGATTTGTATTTGTTTATTTATTTATCTAATATTTGATGTTATACACACATGTATAAATATATATGTACATTTATTGCAATGATATTTATTATTTGAAGTATAATGAACAAAATATAATGAATTTTGGATTATGAACACAAGACAAAAACATTTAGTTGGTTTTGCACTGAATAATGTTATTAATTGATGCTTATATAACATTAATTATTAGTTGTTTTATTTCGATCATAAAGGTTATCAACATAGCATGTAATTGAAATAGGATTCGATTATTTTAAATTTGATATAATTATTACAGTTGAACCTCTGTATATCAAAGTTCCAGGTATAGAAAATCTCAATATATTGAACAAAATAATCACATTTAAAAAAAAAACAATTGAACTTTATCTTTTTTGTTGTGAATATGAGACACGGGTCTTCAGCCCGTGATAGATCCACCAGTGGTTTCTGTAAAATACTCTCACACAAGAATTGAGCCTTTTCAGGATTATTCCAGGAGAGATAAATTTCCATAACTAAATTTTAAAAAAAGCTTTGTAATAGGCTTAATGAAACCAGTTGTTTGTGTAATTCATGTGGGAGGAGGAGTTCTTAACGATTACTCCGGGATACTCATCCGAAGTTAACAAGCCATTGTTTACCAAACGAAATTCCTTATCATTGGCTTTTCCATACAGCTAATCTAACTTTTTCATGTCATCGATTGAAAGCCCATAATATATCATGCTTGCAGTCAGTAAATAATATTTTATAAACTTCTTCTTCAAGTAACATCATGAGTCAAGGATTTGTAACATTCCATGACCCAAGGTACAATGATATGACTTTATTTTTTAAAGTTTATTTTTCACAAAGTCCTAATGTATATTATGTAGAGCTTGCATTCAAAAGAAGCTAAACAGATTACTATACATACATTGACTAATAATTTTGAAGAAAAATTATTATATCAAGTAAAGAAAAATTTCTTTTCCAACACTTAAAACATATTATTCAATAATTCAATGGAACCAATTAGAGCCACCAAATTAAAGCAAAAGGCATTCCAGTGCGGCCTATTCATTTTGCCAAAAATCCTGAATTTTTTAATGACCCAAGGTACACATATTTCCCTTACACACACACACATATATACATACATACATATATATATATATATATATATATATATATATATATATATATATATATATATATATATATATATATATATATATATATACACACACCAATATTTTGAAATACAATTTTTTTTTCGAGAAACCTTTATATGCAATATTTAGAGGTCCAACTGTATATTATTATAAATGGTTGCATGCACTGAAAAGCTCCCTCACAAAAAATGCAGCCAAAAGGGAAAACCATAGGTTTAAGAAAGAAATGGAGAATTGGAACTTGGAATTGCCAATCTTTAATTCTCAAATTTACTTAAATTCCTTGTATTAGATGCAAACATCTAAAATTCGATGAATAGATAAACGCAAATAGAAGATAAAAGAAACCCACTTATGTAATAAGGGATCACATAGTTCATAAAAAAAAGTTTTTGTTGGTTCCATATTTTATATTTGGGTTCAAATAATTTTTCAGTTTCGAATACCTATTCTTTTTTATTAATATAAGTTCAACAATAAGGTTTTGAGACAACAATAATCAATGAAATTTCATTTTTAAAAAAATCGAAACTCTCAATGTAAGGTTTTCTCAAATAAATAAAAATTCAAATAAAGCTACTTGATCCACAAAATAAATTTCATAAAGCAATAAAAAATAAAATAAAAAATGTACACACCTTACATTCTGAAATATATGAAATAACATTTTACAAAAATATATGGTTTAAATAATATTTATTATATTATTAAAAGTAACCCAACACAATTTAGTAAAAATATTAGCAGGTTAATGCAAATAAAAAAATAATTAAAACATGCAACAAAAAAACAAATATTTAATAATAAAAAATAAAGAAAATTAAAGCATAAATTAACTTTATCCAAATCAAAGGTCTCAGAAGTGACTAACCATTACACTTTTACTTCACCTGATTATGCAAAGTTTTAGACACTAATAACTTTCCCAAAATTTTGATAAATTAATTCAACTTAGGAAGAAAATTCCAAAGGATGAAGTAAATATAATTGAATCAGTAGCTATCATTTGTTGGTTTTAACTTTAATAAACTGAGCCATTAAACGTCTATCGTAGTTGGAAAAAAAAAAGTGTTTAATTAAATTAACAAGTGGCTTTTGAACATAAAATTAAAAACAAAAATAAATTGATTAGGAAAAATAGCCAAGGAAGTGCTTTTTGCGAACTGCCTGTGCTTCATTTACTATCACACTGTTACCCGACAGCAGAAAATGTTCAGGCAAAGGTCAATACGGATCCCAGAAATCGGAAGATTATCCGGGAGAATACATTAGACGACTGGAACCAGAGGGGAGTGACAAGTAAACCCGTATTGCCTATTGGCACGTTAGGGAGTAAAATAAATAAAAAATAGAATATTTTATGAAAAAGTAGTTATATGAAGGGTTTTTTTAGAAAACGATTACTGTAATTATAAACATGTAAATAGGGGAAATAAAAGTAGAAATTAATACCATTGAGTAGTATTCTGCATACATATATGATTTCTTTTTTAAATTTAGAAATAAGGTTTTTTGTGACTAATGTTTTGTTTTCGAAAGAAAATTTTTCTTTTTAAATATCTCTTGGAGCCAAAACGTTAATTGTTTAAGATTAAAAGGGGCCATTCTGAGGAAGTATTTTCCCAACGTAAGATCACGTCTAGCTGCTAAATGGGTCCTTCAGGACTGGAAATCACAGGTATTTATTGGGTATGGAGGCTTCCGTGCCAAGCTCCACCTACATGGCTAGGATATCAGCCCGTTATGTCCCAGATGTGGTGAACCAGAGACCACTAAGCATGTCATCATAGCCTGTACCACCTATGAGGCACTTAGAGTTAAGATAATGAGATAAACTGGACACTACATCCTAATGGAAAGAGAGCTGCTTCGACTTATGATAGCACAGAACTACTCGTTCTTTAAAGAATTTTGTTTACAGGTGGAAAACTGATGTGGGTCCAGTACATTTCCGTCAGGGCAAAGATGATCAATCTTGAGAAGACCACTAGAGAATGAAGGCGGGAATATCGAATATCAAATATCAAATAAATTTTGAAAAAGCAAGAACTATTACACCAGTTCTAGCAATTAGATAACCAAACCCGTATTGCCCACAGGCATGGTAGGGAGTAAAATTAAAAAAAAAAAAAAAATATTTTATGAAAAAGTAGTTATGTGAAGATTTTTTTTTTTTTTTTAAACATTCCTCTAATTATAAACATGTTATTAAGGGCAATAAAAGTAGAAATTAATACCATTGAATAGTATTCTCTATACATATATAATTTGTAAAAACATTTTCGAAATAAGGTATTTTTGTGACTGATGTGTTGTTTTTGAAAGAGAAATGTTTTTTTGAAAATAGCTCTTGGAACTGAAATATTAAATAATAATTTTTAAAAGTATATAAAAATGTTAAAATAAAAGCTTGTAAGATTAAAAGGGATTTTGCAAAAACGTAATCATATATTAATTAAATATAGTAATTATATTAAAACAAATATAAAAAAAAAAAAATGAATATCCTAAATAAGGTTGTTTATCATAAAATAATTATTAAAAATTCTGAGACATTTGAAGAAAGCAATAAAACAGTAAACCATAAAAATAAAAAGACCATAAGCAGATGTAATCAGAGATGAAAATGTGTGGTGTGATGTAAGAAACGAAACGAAGCTTTACTATGTCCTTATTATCTGCAGTGATTATGGAATTTTGGACTGAGCAATTTTAGGGATCAAAAAGGGAAGAGTGGAAAAAATAAATATAATAACATCTCTAAAAGGAATGAATAATTTATTAATTGATTTTACAAACAAATATTTAACAAGAGGAGTCCATGATATCATAAATCCTAATAAATTATTGGGAAGTTAGTTGGGGAATGCAGTCGGTAAGAAACACCAATAAAAAAAAATTATTTCGTGGCGGTGTATCAGGGCTGAGGATAAACAGATAACAACTAAAAAATATTGAACAACTATTATAAAAAGATCTGAGAATAAAATATATGTTGTCTGTTAATAAATAAATTCTAAGAAATGAATATATAATTAAAATATATAAGTATTGCATGTAATGCCAAGGTAAGAAAATACAAAATAACATACAACACTTATATATTTTAATTTTTTATTCACTTCTTACAATGTATTTATTAGCACATCAGTATCATTATTAATATCGGTCTAAAATTTCATGAATAGCTCCATCTCATAGTAACCCTACAAATATTTTATTTACGAAAATTCTCAGAATTGGGGCATTTTCAATATAGAGATTAGTAAACTTTGTGTATTTAATTAGGTACTAAAAACTCATTTGCTTTCCACTCGAATCGTAAGATAATATGATCACAAAGTTGAAAAAAAAACGTGGCCTACATAAATATTGGGCCATTTGGCATAATTTCCACCTCCAAAATGTCAAAATAACGAGTTTGTATAGGCCAAATGGCCCTATATTTATCTAGGCCACTTTTTTTTTTTTTTTTACTTCCTAATCATTTTATCTTATGATTCAAGTGAAAAGCAAATGGGCATTCATGGGTTTTTATTACTTAATTAAAAATACAAAGTTCGCCGATACAAAATTAAAAATGCTGCCATTCTGAGAATTTTTGTACATAAAATATTTGT